AACCTCCCCCTGCCTTCTCTCTGAGGTTGGACCATCTGTTCAGTGCTACTTTGTCTCTGGATTTGTTCATCAGTTTATGTTGATCATTATATTCCACATATGAGTGAGATCATGTGATATTTATCTTTCCCTGACTGGCTTATTTTGCTTAGCATAATGCTCTCCAGTTCCATCCATGCTGTTGCAAATGGTAAAAGTTCCTTCTTTTTTACCACAGCATAGTATTCCACTTGTAGATGTACCACAGTTTTTTAATCCACTCATCTGCTGATGGGCACTTAGGCTGTTTCCAAACCTTAGCTATGGTAAATTGTGCTGCTATGAACGTAGGGGTGCATATATTCTTTCTGATTGGTGTTTCTGTTTTCTTGGGATATAGTCCTAGAAGTGGGATTACTGGGTCAAATGGGAGTTCCATTTTTAACTTTTTGAGGGAATTCCATACTGTTTTCCACAGTGGCTGCACCAGTCTGCATTCCCACCAGCAGTGCAGGAGGGTTCCTTTTTCTCCACATCCTCGCCAGGACTTGTCATTTGTTGATTTGGGAGAAATATTTTTTTAATTATTTTCTAGTGATAGTTTTCTCTATTCCACCTTACTAGTTAGATATCAAATTTCTGGAATTGATTTATAAATTTTCCTATCTTTCTCTCTCTTATGGCCAGCTCTTTTTATTTCCTATTTCAGCAGAGAGTTCTTGCAATCCTTTTACAGAACATGTTGTTTTAGCTATCATATTTTTAATGCCCAAAAGTACTTTCTTATTGTTTGTTCATCTTTTTAAAATAACATTCTATTCTTTCTAGAACATTCTCTTTTATCTCTGAGGACATCGAGGCTTCTTTGAAGCGTTCTTCAGCTTTCAGCATTGTCCCTGTTTTCTGTTTGTTTGCTTCATGTTGGAGGCTTTCTTCCAAAGTCTAATTATCTCTTACTGTTCTATCATATTTAATAGTGAGTCACTAAAAAAGCTGATTAGAAACTTTGCAAATGGGCTTCTAACAGGGTCTTAGAGTAGCAGGAGAGTTTTTGTGGGAGGAGGTCACCAAATGTCATTTTGTCTCCAGGATGGCTGTTTCCTCTCAGAAGGATCGTCCATTATTCCCGGTGGGTTGGTAAGGCGGCCAGTGTGCCAGAGCTGACCAGAGGAAGGGAGTTGGGAATGAATGTCACTGTTGAGATGCAGAACATCCTATAATCCCCTGATTTTCCATTCTGTTCTCCTCCTGCCTTTGTTTATACTTAGAGCCCCCATGTTATTTCTCCAGAGACTCCTGCAAAAGTGAAGGGAAATGGTCTCCTTCCTTAACCAGTGGGCTCTGGGGGTCTAATGGATCCTCAGAAAGACTTTCAAATAAATTCCTACCTGCCTTTTCTGGTACTGGTGCCTCTAATTCCTAAGCCTTTCCAGAGGGCTGTGAGCAAGCCCTCCCTTCATAAGCACTTGGCTCTGACCTTTCTCCAGTCTGCTAAGTCATGTACCATCCTTCACCTACTTTCCATCTTTGTGTCTTGTGAGTTAGGGTTATTTATGTCTCTTTGATTATATCAAAGGTGGGACTTGTGCCTTCTTTTCTTGTCTCCCTACTGTTTGGGGATGATTATTTGAGAAAAGAGGAATAAATGAGTGATGGAAAAAGAAAGAGTCTTCATTCTGTCATCTTGAAACCTTTTCTATTTCATAGGTCTTTTATCATACCATACTCTTCTCTCAGTTCCATTCTGACTCATAGTTTCTGTCTTCCAGATTTTCTGGGTGACTTAGACATCATTATACAGGTTTCAGACATATGACATTTAGTGTATTAATGAATTAACAAGTTCCACATGGGATATATAAGTAGGGCTCCCTTTTTGTTGCAGTAATTATTGCCTTCAGTTGTATAGGGCATACTGTTTTCCATAGTGCCTGCACCAATTTACATTCCCACCAACAGTGCACAATGGTTCCCTTTTCTCCACATCCTTGCCAACACTTGTTATTTCTTATCATTTTGATAATAACCATTTTAACAGGTCTGAGGTTTTGATTTGCATTTTCCACATGATTAGTAATGATGAGCATCTTTTCATGTGTCTATTAACCACTTGTATGTCTCCTGTGGAAAAATATCTATTCAAATACTCTGCCCATTTTTTTAATTGGATTGTTTGGGGTTTTGTCTCCTTTGCTGTACAGAAGCTTTTTAATTTGATGTAACCCCATTTGTTTATTTTTCATTTTGTTGCTGTTGCTTTTGATGTCAAATTTTAAAAAATCATCACCAAGACCATGTCAAGGAACTTACCACCAATGTTTTTTTCTAGGACTTTTATCATTTCAGGTCTTATAAGTGGTTAATTCATTTTGAGTTCCTTTTTATGTATGGTGTAAGATAGGGGTCCTGTTTCATTCTTTGGCATATGGCTATCCAGTTTTCCCAACATCATTTATTGGAGAGACTGTCCTTTCTCATTGCATATTCTTGGCTTCTTCGTCATAAATTAATTAATCATATATGTGTGGGCTTATTTTTAGACTCTCTATTCCATTCCATTGATCTATGTGTCTGTTTTTATCCCAAAATATTTGCTATTTTTTTACTTTCAAAGCACAGGGACATCCAGATTTAATTCCAAAAGTTCAAGTTTTCTTTATCTTCTTTTCCCTTAGATATTCACACCATTGAAGGGCCAGAAAATAATGTCCCCCCAAAAAAGTTTCACCAATCCTTCCATTAAAAAAAGAAATTAATTCCTTGACCTCAAGCCATCACAGATACCAGGTTATCTCTTTTTCCATAGCCAGACTTTTTTACCTCTCATAGACTCTTCAACCCCTTCTTATTTTAAACTGCTTTTTCCAAAGTTTTATTCAACTTCTTTCATGCTAAATCTAATGGCTACTTCTTATCTTTGTCCCACCCTCTCAGCAGCATCTGACACCACTGCCACTCCTTCCATGAAATACTCTCTTCCTTGTTTTTGCAGTTGCCTCGCTTTCTAGTGTTCCTCCCATCCGTCTGGTGACTACTCACTCTCTTCAGTGGACATCTCTTCCTCTGCCATCCCTCACATGTGTGTGCCTGTGAGAATCTGTCATACTCTTCCTTATCTTTCTACCTGCACTGTTCCTGGATATTCTCCTCTACTCCCATGGCTTCAAAATTAATTACATCCTAATGACTCTCAAATGGACCACCTCAAGTCCAGATCTCCCTTCGGAGGTACTGTTTGTAACTAAATTTTAAATAACTCCATCAGTATGTCCACAGATTCCTCATACTCAACATTTCTGCTTTCCCCTAAACCTAGTTTTCCATCTCTATTACTTATTCCCATGATTCACATCAAGTCAGAGACCTGAATATGATCCTTGACTCTTTGTGTTCCCAGTCCTCACACCCAATCAATAATCAAGTCCTATTGATTCTGTCTGAGATGGACCTTAAATTTACCAGTTAATTCTCCTCATTTTCACTGCCACTTCAAATTATCACCCTACTGCTAATACTGTTGCCCTCAAATCTAGATTTTATGAAAGAGCCAGGGTGATCATTCTAAAATATGATTATGTTACCCTCCTTCCTAAAAGTTTGCAATGGTTTTTTTACACTGCTATCAGGATAAAGCCCAAATTACTCAACATGGTTTACAAGCAGCTAGTCTTCTACCCTGTCATCCAAATTACTCTGTTTCATTTAAATTAGGTTTATTTTAGTTCTTCCAATAAGCCATGATCACTCTTACCCTATATATTTACACATGATGTGGCCTCTACCTGATACATGCCTATCTGATATTATCAGTGTTCTCATGTTGTCGGTTCTTCTTGACTAATATCTACAAATCCTTTTGTCTCAGTTTAGCTGTCCTATGCTCTCTAAATCTGGGTTAGATCTGCTGCCATAGCATAGCACTTATCCATTTATCACACACTATAATAGTTGCCTGTGTACTTGTCTCTGTTCCCCTTTTGGATCATAAGCACTGTGAGGGTTAAAACTACCTAGGATATCTTCAATGCTTTTAACATTACCTGGTACAAAGGAACCACTAAATAAATAATGGTTAAATTAAGACAGTTTTTACATATGGACTTTCATTCCCTTGCTTTCTCTCCTCTCAAACAAACAAACAATAACCAGCAAATCATCCTTCCCTCCAAATAAGCCATTGCTTGCAAAGGGCTAATTAATGTATAATTCCATATAACAGGTGAGGAAAATGCTACGAGGCTTTGCTTTCCCTTCATTTCTCTCTTTTCTGTTATATATAAAATTTTCAAACTGGAAGTTTAGGTAGCCTTAAAAAAGACTAAGCATGTAGATGTCTTTTCTCTTGATCTGCCTGGTGCCCAATCTGTGTTCCCAAACCATTTATAAACTTGGAAGTGTATGTATATGGAATAAAAAGAACATATGATAACATTTTATTGAAACCAGAACTCAAAGCATTAATTAAAGCTGAGCACACCTGCTCTGAACTGCAAAGATGAAGATTTATGTGAACCTGTAAAGTTAAGGCTTTCTGACCTCCTGTAGGATTTATGTTTCCTCTAAATAAGCACTTCCTCTTTGTGATGCAATATTTTTTTTAAGTTTATATCAGTGACTAACCTGCTGGCATAAACAGATATGCTGTTCAGTTCCTTTATTGCCTGGTTTTATCCACTGCTTGTCAAATATTTAAAGTTTCAGGTGAAAATAAGCAGGTCCAACCATGAGGCCTAGAATTTCTTGTTCTAAACTTGTTAATGCGGTGATCTAAAAGATATCCATGCATTCAAACTCCACACTGTAGATTAAGAGCATTTCAATATAGTTATTCACAGATATACTCACTGCTTAGAAGGTGTCAGCTACCTTAGAGTGGTTTATCACAAGCAGGACTTGTTAAGTTACAATTCGTGCATGTATAGTCTGTTAAGTAAGACAAAGTTTTCCAATCAAAGGAAGACATTCTAATGTTCAGATTCGGATACTAATATCTTTAGAAAAAGAGGTTTCTGTGAGGTTACCTTGGATAGGTTCATTCCCAGAACTGTGAGTGTCACTAAGCCAGCACAACAGACCAACGCACTGGAGCTGGAGAGGCCAGAACTTGGAGGGATGGTCCCATCCACCAGGCAATTCATCCCCGCCAGGTCGCTAAGACCAAAGTGTTCCTAAGGATAGAAGAAAAGACAGCATGAGTCACTTTGGTGTTGGATTCAAGGAGTAGCAAAGTGCTATTTTACTTCGCAGGGAGCAAAAGTCTATCAATGGACTTATTATGCTATTTTTAGAAACTACTTGTGCAATTCAGTTGCATCTGTGACATTTTATGTAAGGGTATGGTAATACGAGGATTACTTTTTACTCTGTTCAACAAAATGCTACTGATCCATTTCTAAAATTGCCTTAAATTGTCTCTTTCTTGAACATTAATTGATTTGAACAAATATGGAAAAATATTGAACAGTTATAATTAAACTTCTCAAGTAGCAAGAAATGAAATGCACAATTATTAGCAAGATAGATTAAATCGCTATATAGTACATCCCAACACTCTGAGACTGTAAAACTCTAACATCAAGCAGTAGCTTATTTCTATGGAGTGTCTTTCTTCAGAAGGGCCTCTGAAGAAAAAGGGCTCCAAACTTTCAGTTCTGTCTTCCTATGGAAAAACGTAGGCTCCAAAATATTAAGAGACTTTCCCAAGATCATGGGTAGGAAACTAGGAGTAGGACCCAGGTCTCCAATTTCTGGATGAGAACGTCTCCATTGCAATCAGAAATCTGAGCCAGCACACTGTCACTGTGATTTAATGTAAGTCAGCTATATGAGGAAATCCAGATTTTTACTAGAGTTTAGAGATACAATTTAGCCATATGGTAGCTTTCAAGACAGCTAAATTAGAATTCAGCCACAAATAAGAGTACAAACTCTAAACAAAGCAGGGAAACTCTATTTCTCTGATCTGAAGATGGAAAGCTCTAGGTTACTTAGATGAATATGTAGGATGACACTTGGGATGCTATCACATATAACCTTTGTGGTTTAAGATTAAAAATAAATTCAAGCCCAGCCAGCATTGCTCAGTGGTTGAGCATCGACCTATTAACCAGGAGGTCACGGTTCAATTCCTGGTCAGGGCACATGCCCAGGTTGTGAGCTTGACCCCAGTATGGGGCCTGCAGGAGTTAGTCAATCAATGATTCTCTCTCATCATTGATGTTTCTATCTCTCTCTCCCTCTCCCTTCCTCTCTGAAATCAATAAAAATATTTTTTAAAAGTAAATAAATAAATTCAAGGCCACTTCCTCATCAAGAAAAGTACCACTGTTTGCAAATTACTCAAATGGCTCAAGACCAAAGTACAAAATACTATCATATTACGTAAGTATGCATTTCATCATACATATTATTCTATGGAGAAATTTCAATAAACTGTTAGAATAACCAAAGTAACAACAAAACTCTACCAAAAAAAAAGAAGACTGGTTTGATTTTTTTGTCCTTTTTTTCCTAAACCGGCAAAATTCATGCACCACAAAAGGAGAGATTCAGTTGAATGTATACTTCTCTTTTTGATTTCAAGTCATCTAAAAATTTCCTTTCCAGAAATACAGATTATAAACTGAAACACTGCTGCTGCCAATGCCCTTTTATACAGAACATCAAGACAGCTTGTTTTTAAAAAAAATCCTCGTTGAATGCTATATATTTAACCATAAACTGATTCACAAGGTGTCATGAATGTGAATCATACTTACAAACTTATCATGCAATGTTTAAATTAAAACTTATAACAGATTCAGAAATGCAAATGGCTTTTGCCAAATTCTGTAATAGCTCTGTCCCAAAAGGATAACATGTTCGATTTAATATAAACAGATTATCCTCTGGACCTTTCTAGTATTTGAATTGGAAGGTCTCTGAACAGGCTAACTTGAAATTACTTCTCTGTCAAAAATTCATTGCACAAACCTGCTTTTGCACATAAGTCATTAAACCAAAAGGGATGGCTTTGGGACCTGAATTCTCAAAAGCAGCACAAAACAACATGCAGTATTTAGGTTACCTTTCCCATATGCTACAAAAGGCATGCTGCTATAAGGAAGATCAAATTGCATTTGCCAGGTAAAAGCTTGTAAATACTGTAATTCCCAATAACACATATGACAAGTCAAATCATTTGAAGATTTAAAACCTTCCAATAACTTTTCCCATAAATTTTTACCATGTATCTGGGGGAAGGAAGGAAGGATGGATGGAAGGAACAAAGGAACGAAGGGAAGGAGAAATTCCAAGACCAGAACCTCCATAATTAAAGACTACACATAAGAAATAAATGCGACGTATTTCTCTAACAGATAGGCCACTGAGCATTAGGCCACTCATGACAAAGTTTCAGATCAGACTGCCATATAGTAAGGAACACAAGCTCTCTAAAACATGGATTTTAATAACAAATTAAATTGATTTAGCAAATCAATTTTTTTTTGTCCTTTACACTTTTTTAATTAGGAGAAAGGAAATACTTTATTTTCTCGTTCTTGTACATGACATTAGAGATGTTCAAAGTAATTATTCAAAGTTTCTAGGAAAATACTTATTCTTTTTTAAATTTTTATTATTTTTTTAATCAGAAAGGAAGGGAGGAGAAGAGAGAGATAGAAACATCAATAATGAGAGAATCATTGATTGGCTCTGCCTCCTGCACACCCCCCACTGGGGATTGAGCCCGCAACCCAGGCATGTGCCCTGGACCGGAATCGAACCTGGGACCTTTCAGTCCGCAGGCTGATGCTCTATCCACTGAACCAATAAAGTTCACTACATTTTTTTGTAAGCCCACCTGATAATAATATTAGTTACCATTTATTGAATGTCTACTACACATCAAGCATTGTGTAATCCAGTGGTTCTCAACCTTCTGGCCCTTTAAATACAGTTCCTCATGTTGTGACCCAACCATAAAATTATTTTCATTGCTACTTCATAACTGTAATGTTGCTACTGTTATGAATCGTAATGTAAATATCTGATATGCAGGATGGTCTTAGGCAACCTCTGTGAAAGGGTCATTTGACCGCCAAAGGGGTCGTGATCCACACGTTGAGAACCGCTGGTGTAATCCTTGCAATCACCCTGTTGAGATAGCAGTGACATCATTTTATAGATAACAGATCTGAGACTTAAGAGGTTAAATTAATGCAGCTGGAACAAAATGGGAATAATATTACTAGAATGTATCCTTCAAAAGAAAATTTAGAGGGGAAATTTAAAAACCAGAAAGATGTCAGATGTACCTGACTTGTGAACAGCCACTACTGCCCCTATGAACACCACCCAGAAAAAGTCATATCTACCCCGTCCCCTGAAATACATAAATTAGCAAAATAGAACAGAAAGATCAGTTAGTAGTAAAAGGAGACAAAAATGATAAATAAAATAAATCTTGATACAATAAACATCACAGTCTCAAAAGTTAGTAGGTGCCTTACAAACCAATTTACCTGAATTCCTTTAAATCCACATAGGAAATAGTTGTGCCACAGAGGCTTGGTTTTGTCAATCTGAATGTTGTTAGTGCCAGTACTGAAGTCCCTGCAAAAACAAGACACCGTTTCTGTCAGGCCAGGTCTTGTGCTGCAAAATCAACGGCTGACTGCTGCCATCTTGTGCCCAGGCAGTGACACTGAAATCTCATCTTCCATTTATTTTCAATATATGCACTTCACCATCTACCTACCCCAAAACAACAAACATCTCCAGCTGTTATAAGTTAAGAGAAGTTATAGCGACCTTAATAACTAAACTACTTCCAACTGACCCTTCTTATTTCCTAAAACAGGGAAGAACAATATGTTTTAGCATAATCTATACCACTTTTTATTTCATGATGGTCCTTGTTATGCTAGTGTAAACCTTATCCTTTGGCCCTGCTGTTTGGCATATTGATAACTGGAATGGAAGTGCTCAAAGCCTTCTTTCCTCACACTCTCTGCCACCCATAGAATTTTACCATATGCACAGTTTAAGGGAAAAAATTAATAAATAAAACAAATGATGATTCTGATTATCATAACTCGAATAAAATAAGATGCCATAAATCTTCACTGGTATAAATTAACAAATGAATAGCTACATGAAGGAGAAGGGAAAGCACTTCCTTAGAGTCAAACGCCAACTAATTAGATGTGAAAAATGATGGAAATTTTTAAAAATCATCATTTGGCAAACTCCATGATAACTGTTTCAGGAAAGAATCGATGGATGCTAAAGTTACTGAGTAAAAACTTGATGAGAAAAAAGATACTTAACTACACTCCGGGTATTTCCCCGCCAGATATTATTTCAAGGAAAAAAACTGTAACTTTATAGTAAAGAAATCTGGCAGGTATCACCTAACCATCACCAGTGAAGGGACATTGTATGCCTCCTTGATATAATGCATGAGGACATATCCGTTAACATGTAGTTCTTGGTATTACTTTTGTGACTTCTTTGTAAGTCAAAAATTTTTTCAAAATGAAAAATTAATAGGCTTCTAAATCAGCCAAAGGACAAAATATGTGAAATGGGAGAGGGGCTAGGGATCAATTTAAAAGTGAGAAAATAAGCAACATTCCCCATGCTGACTGAGTACTCTTCACATAATTTACTAAATACCTATTATGTGCCAGTCACTGTCGTGCATACCTTGCATATATTTTCTTTACTCAATAACATGAATACATCATCTCCTAAGGAAAATATTTAATGACCACTTAAGTGTCCAAGGTATTTGAAGAAAACAAAGGAAAAAAGAAAGAGCTTATCTTTTAAGTATTGGTAACCTAGTCAATGAACACAAGGCATGATCATATACCACTATCATGTGATGGTGTGTATCATGGGGTGGGATAGAAGCCAAGAGGGCATCATTTCTATAGTCAGCATCATGGGTTGGAGAGAGGAGGCATTCTGGAGGCTCAGAGAGGTTTAATGACTTCAAAACACATACAGACTCCAGATCAAAAGCTTTATCATCACCCACAGAAGTAAAAAAATATTGGGAAGAATGATGTCAGCATCATGGTAAGTGAGATGCTCCCTTTGTCTCTCCTCTTCAGTCTATAACTAGTGGGACATGAATAACTCAGGAAAGATTCCTCTGCGCAAGGCATTAGATGTCTGAGAGATCCAAGCACTGCACATCTGAGGTGGCAGATTGGAATACATAGGGCAGGCAGAACTCAGGAACAGAAGGGATGGTGCTCCTGCCCCTGGTTCCTGGGTGGCAGCTAAGCCCACAGCCCTAGTGAGCACAGTAGCAGCGATGGAAACCAAGCTGCAACTCCAACCGCACCACGGCCTGGAAGGAGGTCGGGAAATAGGGAGGAAAAGGAGAGCAGCAGTGGCCATGGCATCAGCCCCTGGGACTCTGGCTCCAGCCCTTGACTGCAGCAGTGCTGCCTCACTGGAGAGCTCAGTAGCAGCAGCCAAGGCAGCACAGGAGTCTCTGACCTCCTGACCACAGAAAAGTCAACAGCAACAGAGAACCAGGCAGTACCCCAGCCACCCCCCAACCCCTTCCATCCCTGCACCACAAGGTATTGCCGATACCCAAATGACCCCAGAAGCAATGGGGGCACACACCATCCCTGTGATCCTGGCAATGACACCCATGCAACTACAGCGACAATGCCTGCAGCAAGGCACCAGTGACTCCGGAGGCACAAGCAGCAATGAAGAGGGCATCTAAGACACCTCTGGCAGAGGCAAGGGAGGTGGGAAATGCTGGCTCTCAAATATAGACAGCTCAGCTCTAGTGAGCCCAGTAGCAGTGATGGAGACCTCAGCTGCTATAGCAAAAACTTGTTCTATAGCACCACATCCTGGGGGGAAAAGGCCGCTAATCACCACTTATTTATGCATTCATTGGTTGATTCTTCTATGTGCCTTCATTGAACCCACAACTTTGGCATATGGAGATGATGCTCTAACCAACTGAGCTACCCTACCAGGGCCTCCTTGTTGACTTTATGTCTGAAGTCTCTATCCAGTGGTGTAAGTGGGGTGTTGAAGTCTCTTACTATTATTGTCGTGCTATCAATTTCTCCCTTTAAGCCTGTTAATAGTTGCTTTATATATTTTGGTTCTCCTGAGTTGGGTGCATATCTAATCTAATAAAAGAGAAACATGCTAATTGACCATACCTCCACTACACCCACAAGCCACGCCCACCAGCCACGCCCATCAGCCCATCAGGAGCAAATATGCAAATTAACCCAACGAAGATGGCGGCGGCCACAGAGCTGGAGTGAGCAGGAGGCTTGGGTTGCCCCCGGCAATGGAGGAAACCAAGTTTCCCACCTGCCCTGCCGGCCCTGAGCTCCACTCAAGGCTACAAAGTTTCAATTATAGAAGATAAATAAATCCCAGATACATGCTTCCAGCCAGCCTCCACTGGGAGCTTGGGTGGCTGGGGGCTGTGGCCAGCCTGCAAACAGCCATCAGCCACTCACCCAGGCTGGCCAGGCAACCCAGTGGAGACCCCCCACTCTGAAGGGGGTGTGGACAGCCTGAAAATGGCCCTCAGCCCCTCACCCAGGCTGGCCAGGCACCCCAGTGGGACACTCACCCTGATCCAGGACACCCTTCAGGGCAAACCAGCCGGCCCCCACCCATGCACCAGACCTCTATCCTATATAATAAAAGGGTAATATGCAAATTGACCCTAACAGCAGAATGACTGGGAATGACTGGTCACTATGACACACACTGACCACCAGGGGGCAGACACTCAATGCAGGAGGTGCCCCCTGGTGGTCAGTGCGCTCCCACAGGGGGAGCTCTGCTCAGCCACAAGCCAGGCTGACGGCTGCCAATACAGCAGTGGTGGTGGGAGCCTCTCCCGCCTCCTCAGAAGCGCTAAGGATGTCCGACTGCAGCTTAGGCCTGCTCGCCACTGGCAAGTGGACATCCCCGGAAGGGTCCCAGACTGAGAGAGGGCACAGGCCGGGCTGAGGAACCCTTACCCCCTCCACGAGTGCACAAATTTTTGTGCACCGAGCCTCTAGTATATTAATAAATGTTATGTCTTCTTGATGTCCTTCTTATCATTACATAATGTCCATTTTTGCCTTCTTGTTACCTCTTTTGGCTTGAAGTCTATTTTTCCCAAGTATGGCTATACCTGCTTTCTTTTGGATGCCATTTGCTTAGAGTATCATCTTCTGTCCCTGTCTTATTTTTCTGTCCAGCCTTTTCCTAAGGTTCAAAAACAAGCACTCATTTTCCCACCAATGTTTTTTCCTGCATTCCTCACCCATCTTTCTCCATTCTTATACCCATGTTGTAGAATGCTAAGAAAAAAGTCTTCAAAATGAGCAAACATGACTCACTTTCCACTTACACATTTTATTCATTCATTCACCTGTTCTTCCAACAAACTTTTGCCCAGTGTCTACCCAATTTGTGTCAGGAACTAGGTTGGACCATTTACAAGAACAATATTATCAAAAAAGTAAATACTTAGCCCTAGAGGTTTGGCTCAGTGGATAGAACATTGGCCTGTGGACCGAAGGGTCCCGGGTTTGATTCCAGTCAAGGGCACGTATCTCTGTACATCTGAGGTAGCAGATTGGAATGCATAGAGCAGACAGAACTCAGGAACAGCAGTGACGGTGCTCCTGTGGTTGCAGGCTCCTCCCCAGCCCAAGCCCTAGTCGGAGTGTGTGCAGGAGGCAACCAATCAATGTGTTTCTCTCACATCCATGTTTCTCTCTGTCTTTCCCTCTCTTCTACTCTCTCTAAAAATCAATGGAAAAATATCCTCAGGTGAGGATTAAAAAAAATAAATAAATACTTAAAGAAAAATTTAACAAAGCATGTACCTTCAAAGCAACAAAATACTTCTGAGTGAAAATGAAGACCTACATAAATAGAGAGATATACTGTGTCCATGAATTAAAAGAGTAAATACTGTTAAGATGTCAATTCTTTCCAAATTGATTTATACATTCAGTACAAACCCAATAAAAATCCAAGGATGCTTTTTCATAGGAATTGAATAGCTGATTCAAAAATTAATGAGAAAATGCAAAAGATCTAGTATAGCAAAAACAAATTTTAGAAAGACAATATTAGAAGATTTACACTACCTAAGTTCAGGGCTTCTTATAAAGCTACAATTTTCAAATAGTGTGGTATTGACATAAAGATGGACAAATACATCAATAGAACAGAACAGAATCCAGATATAGATCCCTACATATCTTACCAATTGCTTTTCAACAAAAGTGTCAAGATAATTCAATGGAAAAAATAATCTTTCCAATAAATGAGAAACAATTGGACAGCCACAAGCAAACACAAAAACCTCAGCCTTTATCTCATGCCACATGCAAAAGTTAATTCAAAATGAATCATAGGCCTAAATATAAGAACTAAAACTATAAAACTTCTAGAATAAAACACTGGTGGAAAGTTTAGTGACCTTTGGTTTGACAAAGGTTTCTTAAATGCAGTCAAAAACTACAAACTGTGGAAGAAAAAAAGTCAATAATTAGGACTTCATCAAAATTAAAAACTATTCTTCTTCAAACAACACTGCAAAGAAA